TAGTATTTAGTAAAAAGCATTTAGATCGGAGGTCAAACTTGTGAAATCCAACCAAGGTATGAAAGGATAATTCATTGCTTTTAAATATTGATTTTACCATTTGCCTATTCTGAAGGAATCCTAACATACTTTCTCTTCAATTCCACAATTGTTGAATAATTAGGAGAAAATAAAAAGACACTTGAGGAGAGGATGAATGTGTGTTTACTAGAATCTGCCTGATAGATAAATATTTCATATGCTCCATGATTTATATATAATTTGTTTTAATTTAGCCCTAGTACAGTACTTGTCATAAGGTAGACATTCATTAATAAATATTTGTTGAATAAAAGAGTATCTATCTTTCTACTGATTTATAAAAGTTATTTATGTAATAAGGGTATAAACCATTTGTCAGTTTTATATGTTGTGAATATTTCTCCAATTTGTCACTTACCTTACATTACTGTGACTTTTTAACATTTTAATTTGCTCAAGTATGTATTTTACCCCTCTTTTTAAAAAATGATTTTATGCTTAAAAAGACCTTCTCCACTTCTCTGAATTTAAATACCTGATCATCTGCAGGGAAAAATGTTTTAAGGTGATATCTTTCTTTCCCGTTTATATCAGAGACCATTCGTGCCTTTAGTACTTACCAGTCAAAATTAAAGGTTATTGGTGAAGTGATCATTAACTCCTGTGAATTGTTTTCTCTGGAGGAGGAATGCTCAGTTCCTGGCAGCCTATCCACAGCTAAACTAGTAAAGATTTCCTAACTTCCAGTACTGGACAGCCTTTTTTATGCTTTATTTCTCTGATTATTTCAATGACTAACTAGTGAAGCAGAGAAAACTAAGTTATAAGGAGGAGGTAAAGGGAAAGGAGAAAGAGAAGCTAAATGATATAATCAAATCACTATTCTATTTGGAATGTTCAACTGAGGCTATTCTGAGCCCCAGAGTTTTATTGATTATGGTTGTGCCAGGTACCTTTTAGGTGCTTTGTATGTGTTATCGCAACAATTGTAAGGTATAAACTGTACACTTTTTATATAACCAAGGAAATTAGCACAAAGAGATTATGGAATTTGCCCCAGTTCACACAATCATTGTTAGAATTGGAATTCTAATTATGGAGGCTAATTCTAGGACCTGCATCTTAACGCTGCATTATATGCATCTCCATTTTAACATGTGAAAACAAAGTATTTTATGTCTGCCTCAAAATCTGCTTCTTCCTGAATCTTCCTAATCTCTTCATCATTTCATTTCTCTACTATCTATTGCACTTGGGGAAAAAAATCCAAATACCATACATCATATCCTACAAGGCCCTAAAAGATAGGACGTCTTTAACTACTTTTCCTTTCATTTTTTTTTTTTTTTTAACTATCTACTCAACACTGGCGTTGTTTCTGGTCTTCAAATACAACAAGTTTATTTCCATCTTATGATTTTTGCACTAGCTATTCCTCGTCCTTTAATGCTTATTCTTGAAGGTGTAGCATGGATTTCTTCTTTCTGGCATTTATCATTTAACTCAAAGGTCACCTCTTCAGTGAACCTTTCCCTGAACATCCAATTTAAAGTAGCCACCTAATCATTTACCTGTTTTTCATATAATCATTGGTATTTTATGCTACTATATAGTATTTTCTTACTCATTCACTTTCTGTCCCCTCATTTACATAGACATAATAAAATATAAACTCTGTGAGAGCGGGGATTTGACTCTCACTGCAGTGTGTCCACTGCTCAGAACAGAGTTTGACATACCATATATGCTCAACAAATGTTTGTTTAGTATATGAAAGGTTTATTGAAAAGGGAAATGGCATGATCACAACTAGGTTTATCTGATAGCAGTGTGGAGTATGGACTGCAATGAGAAAAGGCATTAGTCAGGGTGACTAGTTAGGAAACTATGTATTAATAGTATGAAGGATAGTGTTAGAAATAAGGAGAAGTTTGAGAAGGATAAGTGAGTTAAAACTGTCAGGGTGGCAGTCTGCTCTTGGTTCTTGGTGTGCTTTTGGTGGAAGAGTGACCAGACACAGCAAAGTGTCAGGTCCAGCCTCTTGGTGGACTGTTATCCTAGTTCTTTGGCTACTTGCTTGGAAAAAAAAAAAAAAAATTACAAGCAGGGCCGGTGTAACAGAGTGACCACAAGCAGGATGCAGTTTCACACGAGTAGCTTTTTATTATATTATAAAATGAAACAGGTTTATCTCTGCGAATGGAGACAGACAGACTGACTCATTGACTTATTGACTGAGTCTCTCTCTAGGAATTCTTGAGTTGTTTCCTTTTATTGGCCTATTTAAGGAAGGGCTTTCGGATGTTACTAAATGATTAACAGGTGTTCTCAAAGTTGTAAATCTGTGTATGTGAGCTCCTTCACTAAAAGCCCTACCTGGAAGGGATGAACCACAATGTAGATTTAAGCTAATAACATAATAATTAGCCTTAGATTACTATGGGTCACTTTCCAAATCCAGTTATGTCTAGGCTGGAGAATTCCCAAGATGGTAAAGCATTCCCTCCTTCCCCAGGTGTAGCAGTTGCTACGGATAGGATTAAGGGTGCGGGAATGTCAAAACGGAGTGCCTTTCCTTATTCTTCTTCCCGGGTGGGGCAATTGCTGGAGGCAGCACCAAAGTGCCTTGTCCCTAGAAGAGCCAGAGATCCTAGCTATCTACCTGGGATCTATCTAGAATTCTAAAACTGCATTGAGTTGAGGGAACTGTAGGTCATCTGGAATAAGAAAGTGCCGTTAACATAAATAAGGAATGCTAGAAGATGACAGGGCAGACTGGGAAAATTATGAATTTTATTTACAAGAGCAATTTTAAATTTGGGATACCATTGGTAGGCAAAGTATATGGGAATCAGGACCAAAGATGAAGTTATCAGATTGTGTAAGAATTAGCAAAGGTGGCATTTAGAATGTGAAAGTGGCTTAGGGCTAAACTTTCAAATTACAGACTTTTAGGAGACAGACAGAAACGAAGAAGAGGCAACAAAAAGGCAACCAGGAATATATAGTTTTAGGAAATCAAAAAGATATATATTTTAAGAAGAAAGAGATCCAATTATAGAGGGGATGACTATAAAAACATTGGATTTGATAAATAGGAGTTTATCTTCTGAAACTGAGGAGGTGATTTCAGGAAAGTGGTGAGGTCCTGAATGCCCCAGGTGGAAGAAACAGTCATAGTGACTTTTCTTGACAATACAAGGCGAAGACAAAAGGGGAAGAAATCTGCCTTAGTGAAGAGTAGTGAGAGAAAAGCAAGGTTTAATGTATAAAGAGTATGGTGAATTTAGTTGAGATTTATGTGAGACTTGGGTATATCTAGCTGAAGATTACTAAAGGAATGAGGTCAGAACTGTCAGCAGAATCAATAACTTTTTTCAGAAGGTTGTAAAACAAAGGCAAGGATAGAGATGAAATTAGCTTAGCTTCAGTGGAAAAAATGTGTTTGTTTTTTTTAGAATGGAGAAAACATAAGTTTATAGTCTGAGCAGAAGGAACCAATTCAAGAGTAAAGGATAATGATGCAATCTTTAATTTTTTTGGTAGGACAGGTAGATGGAGGGGAAGATTTGGAAACTATAACATTAATTTTGCTATTCAAAGCTCTTTTTTATTATTGTTTTACAAACCCTTGTGTTGAGGGCTGACTTTCAATAGATCACAGTGAGGGAGCTGCTCTGCTACATACAAAACCAGGACCCAGAAACAGGTTATCTAGGGATGGTTTAGCATCAGGTTCCTCATGACTGTGCATTGCGTGCCGGGAAAGGGGGTGGCAGCTTTTCCAGCCCCATACTTGAAGCTCTTTACCCACGTTTTTTGACTTTTTTATAACTTATTTCAGACCTTCATGTATGTGTGACAGCATTATGAAATCAAATTTTGTTTTTTAATGGGAGAATTTTCTTAACCAACAGTATTTGATATTATGTGTATGTAATTCCTAAATGCAATGGCCTATTCCAGGAAGATTTTACTTTCTTCCCACTTGATGTACTGATCGAGCAAGTAGTATAGATGTGTGGTTTGAAGGTTAAAACTTGGAAATATTTTCATTTCCTTCCAAAGCAGGAGTTTAGTGAATATGTGATCTTACCATCACTCTTTCGAACATTATGACTTATAAAACAAGGTTTATAATAGTAATTTTTATAGCATTGCTATGAGAATCATTTAATTTTTAATTTTTTAATTGTTTTTTTATCAACAAGTATTTATTGAAGTCTTACCATGTACCAGGATTAAGTTAATTAAAAATAAAAATTCAACAAATGTTAATTGCTATTAATATTACAAATATTTCATGTCTCTCCAAAGGAAGAAATACAATACAAATAATAGTATCAAAAAAGTAAGGATTACTTTGATCGTTGCATAAATTATTTAAACTTAAAGGCTCAAATAATGTTTCCAACATATTCACTGGTAAAAAATAAGTCAAGTTAAGAAAGGCACCATGGATTAATTATATATACGGCCCATGATATTATGTATAGAGAAGAAGCAATTATTGAACTTCCATGAAATAGTCCACTTGGTTCAATACTCTCTTCTTAGATGACATATTTCATCTTCACCTCTAGCAGAAAAAAGAAATTAAAACTCTAAACTGTTTCTGTAAATTTTTTACTTATTTGGGGGTTAATTTTAGTTGTTGGAGAAAGCATATTTATTGGAGTGACCTGTATATAAAATTGAGTTGAGTTTTTAAGAGCCTTACCATAGGTAAATGTCCTTTGTGTCTTTCATGGTCAAGTGGTAGAGGATTGATTGGAACTGAATATCTGTCATGTGGTCCTACATTCCAACTATCTGAGAGTTGCTCTCTGCTGTCTAATGTGCTCTTATGCCAGAAATAACACTTAAGTTTCCTTTGAACACCTAACCTGGCTGACGGGCAAGGAATCAATACATCCTGTTGCATAGCATTCAAACCTGCTATTCGTAAAAAGTAACACTAAAGATGTGTTTCTTTACAGGATAGTGCAGAATTGATCACTTCCCTGCTTCACAGTGGAGCTGATATACAGCAGGTTGGGTATGGTGGCCTCACTGCCCTCCATATTGCTACAATAGCTGGTCACCTGGAGGTAAGTCATGCTTTTGTTACCTGTGAAAACAAAGGTTCCCTACCTCTTTGGATTCTTGTTCTCAACCGTTTTCAAATGGTGACTTTTAAGATTCTAGATGATTTATTTTTTAGCCAGTGGACACATTCATTTCTTCTGGGGGTAAAATTTAGCTATATCAATATGCTTTTGATAATCATTTCAGTCCATTTTGTGACAATGTAATCAAAATTCAGTTAATATAAAGGTGGCTAGATATACAGAGGCTTTATAGCAGAGGCTATATATGCTATTAGATTTTGGAATCAAGCAGCTCAGTTTCCACAACTTGCTATTGTAACCTTGGGAAGTTACTAAATCTCATGGTATCTCTGTGTACTTCATTTATAAAGTAGGAATAGGAATAGTTCGTTGTAATGATTAAATTAAGTAATCCATATAAAGTGCTTTGAAGTTTACTTCATGCAGAGTAAGGACTAAATGAAAGATCATTCACTCATTCATCCACTTACCCATTACTTGAATAAATATTTATTAAGCACCTATTATGCACCAGATACTGTTCTAGGTGCCAGGTGACAGCAGCAAGAAAGACAGTGAAATTTTCCATTTTCATAGAGTTTAGTTATAAAGAATAAAACAGACAATTAGAAAAAAGAAAATATATATGTTAATTAGTAGTAAGTACCATAAAAATAATAAAGTGGAATAAAATGAAGACAGAACAATGGAGAAGTAGGTACCATTTTAAATAAGTTACATAGCAAAGGCTTCTGAAAGAAGGTGATGTTGGAACATAGCTCTGAATGAAATCAGAATACCAACCACATAAAAGGAGAGAAGAACATTTCAGGCTTAATGAATAGCACATGCAAAGGCCCTGAGAAATAAAAAAACTGTGAGTGTTTGAGGGACATGAGTGAGCCTAAGTTATTAGAGTGGAGTGAGCTGGAGGTAGAGTGATGGAGACAAGGTCAGGTGGATGATTATAAACTAGAATTACAGTGTTTTAAAGGCTACAAGAAGGGCTCTGGATCTTGTCTAAGTTTACTTGTCAAAGTATTAATTTTATACTACTAGCAAAGCACTTCTATTTGTATGATTTAGTTAACTTCACAAATTTTCAAATTTGTGAAGAATAGAGCTATTCTATTCTTCACAAATTTTCAAATTTGTGAAGAATAGAGCTATTCTATTCTCATAGAATAGTTTTTGTTGTCTCTGCCATTTGATAGTTATAAAACTAAGCTTCTTGTATAATAATCGTCTTTACAAATTACAAAGCCATTGGGAAAAAGAGCCATGTCTGGAATCCTGATCATTTTACTTCAAAATTCCATGATTTTTACACTCTATCAATTGTGGTAACAACATGTAGCCTAACAATGTAATAAGTCTTACATCCTCATTATTAAATAGTTATTGATTTCTTCCTTTTAGTTATGTTGCAAATTAAATTGCACGTTCTTCACTAATATACGCACATACACAAACACACATCAATTGTGAACAAATGGAGATGTATATGCAATCACACATGAAGCTTATAAAATAGGTGTGATCCATCTCTTTTAACAATGTCACTTCAAAGGGCTCTTACATTCAATAAATATTAAAATATCTCATTGAGAGCAAAATAGTTTCCTTCATGTTGCATTTCCACCCCTTAGGTATCACCTTATTTCCCAGAAAATAAATCTTTTTGATGAGATTCATTGTAAATATTAGTGAGTTTGTGTTGGGGAAATCCCATTAGACTCACTTAAACATAAATATTTTTCAAAAAAGAAAAAAAAAGAAATTAACTGAGGCCAGTGATAAAGTAAATGAAGTGGTAAATGTTAAGAAATCTGGGACGGGTATATGCATACACAAAGAGTGCAATGCGCGCCATCCGGGGAATGGACACGCTTGAAGCTTGAATTTGTGGAGGGAGGGGAGATAAGGGCAATATACGTAACCTAAATATCTGTACCCCCATAATATGCTGAAATAAAAAAAAAAGAAATCTGGGTGAAAGAATTGGTGAGGTAGACATTAAGTTCCAATGAAACATCTTTGATCTTTTAATGCCAGGAAAATGATAGAATATCCCTTTTTGCCTAGTGCTGAGCTGATTATATTTGTGAATGATAGAATTACAACAATGTCAAAAGCAAAGTGATTAAGAGCTTGGTTTTTTTAATCTTATATTCAAATATCTTTGCTTTCTTGCTTTGTAAATAATATGGAAAAAGCCATCATATTGTTTCTACCAGCATTAGGGCAAACTTTACCAAAATAATTCCAAATAGATCTCTACTCTTGTCTTGTAATTCTCCATGAGTTCTCTGACTTCCCTCATTAGCCAATGTATAACATTTAATGACTTTTATAGTCAATCACTGACACTACATAAAACAGATATGGATGCATTAGCCTTTATTATCATCTTACATAATGGACTAATTAAGTTATTGATCAGATAATAAAAGAAAATGGTATCCAAAATAAACTATCTAAAGTCATCTTATTCAAGATGAAGAATTTTTTGGAACAATTTTTTCAAAGCTATTACAGTTGATCCTGAACAACATGGGGGTTAGGGGTGCCAACCCCCTGCGCAGTTGAAAATCTGCATATAACTTTTGCCTTCCCCAAACCTTAATCGCTAATAGCCTACTGGTGATCAGAAGTTTTACCAGTAACATAAACAATTAACACATATTTTGTATGTTTATGTATTGTATACTGTATTATTCCAATAAAGTAAGCTAGAGAAAAGAAATGTTATTAAGAAAATCATAAAGAAGAGAAAATATATTTACTATTCTTTAAATGAAAGTGGATCATCATAAAGGTCTTCATCCTTGTTATCTTCACCGTGAGTAGGCTGAGAAGGAGGAGGAAAAAGAGAGGTTGGTTTTGCTGTCTCAGGGGTGGAAGAGATGGAAGAAAATCCATGTATAAGTGGACCTACACAGTTGAAACTCATGTTGTTCAAGGGTCAACTGTAATTGTAATAAACACTCACTGTCAATATCATTTTCTTTTCCCCACATTCATTAAACACATATTTTTGAGCCTCTACTTTCTCCATAACATAGTGTAAGAATATGGGAATGACAAGAAAATATGACATAGCTTTCCCCCTAAAGATTTTATAATGTAGCTGAGAACACAAAATGAATATGTATATTCTGTATATTTCTCTTCAGATCATATAAATCTTTTGCCTTTTACAAAGTGAACATGCAGGAAAAATATATAAGCAATTCAAAATAAAATAGCAATATAGCTGTAAGCAAGGAACAGGAAAGAGTCAAAGATGAGAGTGGGCTTGATAATAAGGAAGATAGATGCTTCTCAACTTACAGTGGTTTACATTCCAATAAACCCATCATAAATTTAAAATATAAGTGGAAGGTGCATTTAATACACATAACCTACAAAACATCACAGCTTAGCATGGCCTACCTTAAATGTGCTCAGAAATTCTTACATTAGCCTAGAGTTGGGCATAATCTCTAACACAAAGCCTATTTTACAATAAGTGTTGAATATCTCATGTAATTTATTGAATATTGTACTGAAAGTAAAAAGCAGAATGCTTGCATGGGTACTTGAAGTATGGTTTCTACCAAATGCACATCACTTTTACACCATAGTAAAGTCAAAAAAATCGTAAGTCATATCCTCGTAAGTTGAGGACCATTTGTAATTAGAAATATGATAATTACATAGCAAGAAAGCTCAAAGAACACAAAATTAGAAGAGTTAGGAGTTCACTGGAAAGTTGAGTGTGAATAGAGATCAGTGTGCACTAGAAGAGTTAAGAAAGGAGTTATGAAACGGGAATTGGAAGTGGACTGGACTTTGAATAATGTTAAGAACTGGACAGCAAAAAAGAAGAGGAACCATGTCCAAAAATGGGAAGGAAAGAATGAGCTGAGCACATTTAGGAGAGAGTAAATAGAATTATAGCATGAAACAGATTGTGAAGAGTCCCTGTAGGTAAATTTGGGTGTTAGGGATGGACCAGACTAAGGGAAACTTTGGGACTAGAAGTCTAAGGAGTAGAATTCAATACAACAAACAATCACTGTAGTTTACAATATACAACCCACAGGCTAGATGGTGTGGTAGATAAAAAGATTAATAGAACACAGAAGTTCTCACTATTTAAAGAAATTTGCAACCAAATAGGATTTTTTTTCCCATATGAAATAGGAAGCCTTTGAGAGATTTTGAGCAAGAGAATGATTGGAGATTTGATAAGTAATGTGTTAAGAGAATTTCTTTGACTGCAATATTTAGCATTAATTCTAGTGTGATGACATGATGATTAAATAGAGATAAAGAATTGGATTAAGAATTTAATTTGGAGGAAAAATCAATTAACTCCAGGCATGCTGATTTTCTGATGACAACCAAATTTTCAAGTGCAAATGTTCATTAATCACTTAGAAATATATAAATGACATACAATGGGGGATGTTTGTGCTTAATGTAATTTTTTGGAAATTATGTGTATAGAGGTGATATTTGAAACCATAACAATAGCTGAAAGTTGTATATTGGATATAATGGATGGCCCAAGGACTGAGCCTAAGAGAATATCCACAGAGATCTGATGAATTATTGAATAGCCATTGAAGGAAGAAAGAAAGATTGGTCAGAGTGATATGAGGAAAACTAGGATATTGTACTGTCACAGCAATTAGGAAAGTTTCAAGAATTAAAGGATCCTGGGTATCAAATAGAGCAGAAAGATTGAGTATAATGAGATAAAATATGCATAGAATATTTCCTTACTATAACAAAAATTTAGATGTATATTCTATTCCTATTTTTTACTATCTTGGTTAGCAGGGATAATGGCAATAGATCAGTGGGAGTTCTCTTTCATTAATAGTCACTATCTTTGATTGCTCACCTTTCTCTGTGAAACAATAGCTGATGACAGGACTCTTTGTCTCCACATACCAAATTCAGACCCTCCTTTAGTGTCTGAAGTGTGTTTGTCCTCCCGTAATTGTGAA